CCCTCTAGATCTTTATTTATACACATCTCCTTGAATCTCAACTCACATGATAGTGAGGATGCTTGTAGGTTTTTTTTTTCCCCATATATTTTGCATTAGATTATACATATATCTTCACCAAATCATCAGCGTCTCACTCACACATTAAGATAGTGCTAGTACTTTCTCTTTTGTCATGGCCATGCACTAGAAGAATTTGGCAAACAGCCATACACATAGCTTGGCAAGAACCCATATTAATTGTAGCTCCACAGAGTATGAAGGCCAAAGCAGCTAACCACACAAAGATGGTGCTTGAAAATGTGAGAGGAACCCAACATTATGTTGAACCTTGGCATGGTCTTATCCACCAAAACACCATAAATAGCAATCGTTGTGACCAAAACAAAGGTGAGAACTGCTCTGAAAGGAAGTGGCCATATTAGAACCAGTATGGCACCCATGCTAGCAATGAATCCAGCAATGTTAAACATCATGTAGTAGAAGGAGGCCCGAAATTGGTTAGATCCACCCAACACCAAATGCCAATGATTTTCCACAGGGTTTTGTGGTTGATAAACGATTTTTGGATCCCAAGAAGCTGTAAAAGTGAGAGTAGCAGTCATGACAAACACCATGATCAACACATTATGCACCTCCAAAGACACTATCTTGTATCGTCGCTTTCGTCTATGGGAAGGAGGCGGTTTTTCCCTGTAATTAGACAAGAAACGACCCTCCAATGCACCGACATCACAGAGGATATGGCGGATTGTGCGAGCAAGCATATCATTTGATGTATTGTTATGGACATCCAAGGCTGTGTATCCTCTCTCATTGATAGCATTGACATCCACTAGTAAGGTACCATTGGTTGAATCGCCGACGAGCAATAGCTTTACAATCTATGCCACATATTCAGTTCATACATGATGTCTAAGAAGTTTATCAAGAAGAAAAATGTGTGTGTGTGTGTGTGTGAGAGAGAGAGAGAGAGAGAGAGAGAGAATAGGACTGAACTACTATTTGTAGAAACATGAAAATTCTCTGGAGACTTTTCTAAAGGCTAAATTTTTTGTGAAGTGGTAGTCGATAGAGTTAACTTTCAAGCTTGTAGGAAGATTTTGTTCAGATTTGTTGTTGATACACTTGTGTAGCAATACAATTGAGCCGGCCATGGAAGATAATTGAACAATCATGAGTTAGTTGGGGATCAAGGGCGGAGTCAGGAATTTCTTTTAGGGTGGTGGGCACACTATAACTATAGATTTAATTTTTTTTTTCATCTAATAAATAAAAAGAATGTGATGTATTTGTATTTTAAACATCATATTAATTAGGTAAAAAATTAAGTGAATACAAAAATACAAAAAATCAGAATACATAGTTCATGCAAACAAAAAAAAAATAAAAAAAAGATTAATTATAACTCTTTTGTCGAACATTAGATAAACTATTTTGTCAACTCTATCGCTAGCATTTCTAAAAGAGATATTGACATATTGTAGTAGGAAGAAAATATAAATACAAATACATAAAATTACAATTTTTAATCGTAACCAATTTTTTACAAAGCCCATAATTTGAAAAACAAAAAAAAAGAAGCTGCTCTTGTTTGTTGCTGGGAGAGAGAGGGGGGAAAAAAAAAAGATAGAAAATGGGTGGTTGGTGGCATGGTGGGCCAGCTTTTTTTGGTTTTTGTTTTGTTTTGACTGGACCTAGCTGGTTTTTATATTTTTTTTTTTTTTTGAACTCTATCTAATTGTTTTAGGTTTTGGGTGGGCACAAGGGAGACATTACACAACAATATATATATATATATATACCTAGGTAAAAAAAAAAAATTCAGGGGGTTGTCACCCCCCCCCCCCCACTGGACCATGTGCAGCTCCGCCATAGTTAGGATGATCAAAGTCCCTCCCCTAATTGGGAACTCTAAGGTTCAATTTATGTTAGAATATTTTAAACAAATGGGTGTTTTTATGTGAAAATTCAATTCCAAATTGACTAGATTTTTAAAAATACTTGACTATATATATATGTTAGTACTATTTAACCTTTGAATTAAAATGAGATATTAGGACTCTCACGTGCGTAGGGTGGGACAAACGAATGAGATAAGAAACACATTGACTAGCCTATTCTACACCTGAGTAGTGAAAAAATCAGTTTCTGAATACCAAAAGTTCAAATGGCTAGTTTTCCAACAACTATTTTTATTAGTTATTATTTGATTAAATATGAGAGTAATTATGGAATATTAAACATCTATATTTTTTTGTATATATTTACATATTTCAGTATAGAAACATACAATTTAAATACTTACTACAATCTCCCTATAGCATAAGTTTCTGAGTAATATTCAAAAGGTGTCGTGTGAAGCTTCTACTTCATTTGATTGTGCATATTTGAGTGAAGCAAAAGTCAATAGGTAGAGCTGTTGTATCTTGGAGACGATATGTTGTTATCTTCTGCGATGTGTTTCTTTCATAAAAGGGCACGAATCATCTTAAGATAGTGACCTAATCCGCGTCTTATCCTACCGTTCATTTTGGTTGAATGACATCCAACATATCTATACAATTAATTTAATAATAGTTGAATCCAATGCATAAGGCATAGTCAATATGGCCTAGTCAAAAAATTGGAGCCTAAGCAATTTCCTCGAAAATTATAAAAAAAAAAAAAAAAAAAACAGATATATATATTTTGTTTCAACGGTTAAGAGTGTCTGGATCAGCTTATACCTTATACGTACCTCAATTAATCTCTTCCACAGTTCGATAAAAGACAAGTCATCCACATCGGAACTAGGGTATTCATGAGAGATAAATCTTTCATAGTCTGATCCTAAGTAATTGTCGAAATTCAAACTCATAACATTTGAATTTATAGCTCATTACTATTTTCACTTGAATTACCGATGGTACGTCTAATGGATTAACCAATGATATTTGGTCAATTGAGTAAGAAGTCATTCATAATACATCATCAATTTTACGAGCCGGCCTGTCCTTATGATAGGCTGATTAAGAAAAAAAAAAGCATCAAAAAAAGCATTAAAACTTCCCTAAACACTTGATCTGAGAATCTGGCGCAGGGTTAAATCCAAATAGAATTTTCCTTAGGTGAGTGTTAGGGGTGTCAATTTTACCTATTAGCACGAATTCAAATAGACACAAATCTAAAAAATGACGCAATCTATTGACATGAATGATAAATAAGTTAAAATAATGTTGGATACGAATAACACGATTAACGTATGTAGAAAAAAAATGTATTTTATAATCTTTTAAAGTTTTTTATATAGTATCATATGCGATGTTACATAATTAAATAATCTTTTATTGACATGAACACGACACATTACGAAAAAAGACACGCAACAAAAATGACACGACCAGAAATAACACTACACAAAAAATAACACGACGACACAATATGATTGTCACCCGTAGTGAATGCAAACCATATAGTACTCCGAAGTTGAATAATTCATGCTTATGTAATTAAGCATGCGCCTTCTGAGTAATTGCCATAATCTTTCCTAGCACTTTCTCCTATAATTTGATGAAAGACTTGAGGAAGTCTTGCTTATATAATCTATGATTCCTTGAAACTACATTGATGTGAAGCTTATTGAATTTATCACATGTGTAAGCTTGTGAATAGATCGGATTTTAATTCGAATATGAACCTGAATTCGGTTAGTCGAATATGGATTGATATTATTTTACTGAGACTATCTGAACGCTAATCCGAATCTAATAATTTATATTTCACGGGTTTGGATTTGAATATATCGATATCCAATCCAATCCAAAATATTTATATATTTTTGTATAAATATTAAGAAAAAAGGAAGTGATTATTTGAAAGAATTTAGTTAAAGTTTAGGTAAATTAAGTTATTCGGATCAGATTTTGGATTGTTAATAGATTTGGAAATGGATCACAAAAATAAAATCTGTCAGATTATCGGATTGGATTTTCGAAGACGGATTCGGATCAGTCGAAATCCAATCTAAACTCGATCTATTGACAGACCTATCCATATAAACGTACATGTGAGATACACCATACACGTGTCAAATTTTCTTTATATTTTCTTAGTATTAAAGAAGCAACGACTAACAAAAAATGAATTTAAGTCAAAGATTAAAATAACTCTTGACGTATAAGCATTAGAAAAATATAAAGCTTCGTTTTTGCTTTTTTTATTCCTTAGCATGGAAACTACAAAACAATCTTGACTCAACACACGGTGGAAAAAAGATTATGTGGACGAGGACTTATTCAACACATGCCTGTGTGATGAATGTAAGGAAATCAATCAGCACAATTACTAGGTTGAAGGGGGAAACTCCATGGCAATTGCTTTGTTAGAGTATGTGTGGCTCATATTTGCTATGTGAACAATGATAAGGAGGCAGATGTCGAAGCGGGCGGAGCGGAGCTTCCCGAGGGGAAGAGAGTGATAGGGTGCAAATGGGTGTATAAGAAGAAAGAAGCAGTATCAAAGGATTACTCACAGAGAAAAGGGGTTGACTATGATGAGATCTTCTCTCCCGTGGTCAGACACACTTCCATCAGGACAATGTTGGCACTAGTAGCACATTCAGATATACAGTTGGAGCAGATGGATATAAAGACAACTTTCCTTCATGGCGACTTGGAAGAACATATTTACATGGTACAACCAGAAGGGTTCAGTCTCCCTAGAGAGGAACATTTGGTCTGTAATTTGAAGAAATCACTTTATGGGCTGAAGCAGTCTCCGAGGCAGTTGTACAAGCAATTTGACTCTTACATGATCCGGATTGGCTACAAAAGGTATGAGTATGATTGTTGTGTCTATGTGAAAAGCCTTGATGATGATTCATTTATTTTTCTGTTACTTTATGTGGATGATATGTTGATTGCTGCCAAGAGTATGAGTGAGGTCAACAAGTTGAAGACTTTTGTTGAGTAAAAAATTTGATATAAAGGATTTGGGTGCGGCTAAGAAGATTCTTGGGTTGGAGATTCGCAGGAACAGAAGTTCCAGGAGATTATGGCTATCTCAACATAGCTATGTTGAGAAGATGTTGGACAGGTTCAACATGAGTTATACAAAACCAGTAAGTACACCTTTGGTGAATCATTTCAGATTGTCTACCGCTCAGTGCCCCAAGACAGATGATGAAGTTCATGACATGTCAAAGGTCTCATATGCTAGTGCAGTGGGGTGCTTGATGTATGCCATGGTTTGTACAAGACCAAATTTGGCACAAGCTGTCAGCGTGGTTAGCAAATTTTTTTCAAAATTGGGTCGACAACATTGGGATGTAGTCAAGTGGATTTTCAGATACTTGAGGGGCACTACAGACTATGACATCATGTTTGGCAGACAATAGAGTGACTATTCAGTTGTGAGATATGTGGATGCAGACTATGCAGGAGACTTGGATGACAGGAGGTCTACTACAGGTTATGTGTTTACTTTTGTGGGAGGACCTATTTGTTGGAAGTTCATGGTACAGCCTATAATTGCACTATCTACTACTGAGTCAGAGTATATGACAGTAACTGAGGCTGTCAAGGAGGCTTTGTGGCTTACAGGTTTGGTCAAGGAGCTGGGTACCCAGCAAGGTGGAGTTCAGTTGCATTGTGACAATCAGAGTGTCATTTATTTAGCAAAGAACCAGGTGTATCATGCGAGGACCAAGCACATAGATGTGAGGTTTCATAAGATCAGGGAGCTGATTTCTTCTGGTGAACTATTACTTGAGAAAGTTTACACTTCTGAGAATACAACAGACATGTTGACAAAGTCTGTTACTACAGACAAATTCAAGTACTGCTTGGGCTTGATTAATGTCTCCAGTTGCTAGATGGGAGATGCCCCAACTTAGCGTCCCCGGTGGAGTTCCCCGGATACATGTTCTTTTTTTCTCCTAAGGAGTGAATATTTGTCAAGGTGGAGATTGTTAGAGTATGTGTGGCTCATATTTGTTGTGTGTATAATGGCAAGGAGGCAGATGCCGGAACGGGCGGAGCGTAGCGGAGTGGAGCCCGCGACGACATCTGTCTTGCGGGATTGATATGTTTTATGTATGGGGGGGACGTTGATTAGTTGGGGGTGCGGGGACAACGCCCCCCCGGTACGGTACAGGGGTATTTTGTAAATACGTCTGTACTAGGGTTATATAAATACTTAAGATGTAACCCTACTTTGAATAATGAAAAAAAACGGCCGCTCGCTCCTGTGGATGTAGGCACATTACCGAACCACGTAAATCTCTGTGTTATTTTCTCTTACTTTCTTAATTGTTTGATTTTTTATTATTCACCATAATTGTTGTACAATCACAATAACCTTCTTGTTTAGGTAGCAATTTCTTCTAGTCATGAAGACGATGAAGTCATGCATGTAGGTGTACATTGATTGATCCAACATCTTGCTGATGGTTAGACGACAGAATCTTTGTTGTCACCAAAAAAATCTTTACTAATGAAAAATTAGTTAGAAATATGATAACTTTGTTAGTTCAAATAATTTTTTGTTGAGGTGTCGAACGAGTATCATATTGATCGGTGATGAAGGGATTCTAGGTCAAATAAGTGAGCGGGTCACTCTACCTACTAGATGCGCCTTTTAGGTTGGAAACTCACGCCTAATAAGTGTTATTAGACCATGACCCAAGCCACCATGTGGCTCTACACAAGGGGGAAGAATGATGTGGACGAGGACTTATTCAATCCCTTGCTCATGCCCAGGTAAGCTTGTAAGAAAATCGAACAAAAAATTTATTAGATTGAAGGGGGAGGTTTCATGGCAATTTCTTCTTGTTTAGGTAGCAATTTACAAAGCTCTAGTCTACCAAATTGAGGACAACACAAGTCATGTGATGTAAATTGATTTAGTCATTCAACGGTCCGTGCACCTCGACTAATTTTTTCTCAAGTTTAGTCAAAGATAGGTTATTCACGTCGGAACTAGAGTATTTATTAAGGAAAAATCTCTCATAATCTGACTGTAAAAAATTATCAAAATTCGAATTCAGGACGTCTGACTCATCTAATAATGGTTAAATGACAAGATCTGTGGTTGTCATCAAAAAAATCTTTCTTAATGGGAAAATCAGTTAGTAATACGATGGTAGTTCAGATAATTTATAATCTTTCTGGTGTATTAGGTTATCTTGTAAATATCTTGTATTCCGTTCCGATTTTGTACCCAATTCGACATAAAATCAGTTCATTTCTCCCATCAACAATCACCTTCTCTTTCATTAAATCTGTTTCAAAGTATTTTATGGCTCCCTTTAATTTGGTGGACTTTGTGCTGTTCTGCAACCTTATTTTCAACATTTGTTTTCCTTAGGACACTATCCGAATTGCCCAATTGCTTAGGACCAAAGAACTAGAAGAATCAATTTGCAAGTTCTTGCTAATGGAGTTTCTACGACTATCTATCGATTATCTCTTCCATATGAGAGCATTGTACATTGGTTACGATTTTTTATTGTAATCGGAAACTTTTGTGAAGATTTGAGGCTTACAAATCTTCTCTAACTTGGTCATGAAATCACTTTCGTTACTCTTTGGTCAACTTCTAAAACCTAGTTGCAACCCTGCAAATAGGGATAGTTTGGTGTCTTGTCGATGTGGAGTATTAGTTAACGCTAATTCTATTCGCACCCTTTCCGAAAATTCTATTTGCGCCATTAATTGTGTCAGATTTCTTGACACTAATTAAACCTTTTATAAATCATTTCATGTCCGGGTCGACACACATAACTTATGAACTAGAAATTTAAAAGTATGACACACTTCTTTCTCAACTAACTAGACACTCCCCATATATATAACCTCTATAAAAAAAAATATCATTCAACCCAAATGTTAGCAGAACCAAGTAAAAATCCTCTTATTTTTGTAAAATTTATATGATACTAGATCAAAAAATTAAAAAAAAATGAAAAATATTTTGTAATTCTTTGATTCGTGGCGAGAACTAATCAATTATAACCCATTAATTTCATAAATAATATGTATTTTTTATGTAGGCTCGTGTTCTAAGTTAAACTTGGCCTTCAAACTATCTTGAACTCTAGAAAATATTCAGTGCTCGTCAAGTATCACATGACAGTGCCTTATGATGTAAATTACTCATAAAATATTGCACATTTTCAATCAATTACTGTCACTTATAAAATTGTTAGAAGTTTGTTTGAAAAATGAGCACCACATGACCATTCTTCTTCACTAATTATAGTTTAAGTCCACCCCCTCCCAACCCTCCCAGATCACCCTTTTTTGATAAATTTCCCTAGGTAACAAAGATGGATTTTGTACAACATGTAAGGCACTCTAGAGCAAAGCATCTGGATGATTTTTCCAACACCACAACTCTGTTATTGGAGGCAACCATGAGAGGAGATCAAGAAGACTTGGCCAATGTGTTAAGACAAAACTCAAGGAGTTCTTGAAGATGCAGACATGGTGTCAACAGCAACTCCATTGCACAAAGCCTCAGCTTTGGGTTTAAACCAAGATGGTTTAACTCCTTTGCACTTGGCTTCTTTAATGGGAAATCTAGAGGTTTTGAAGGAGCTAATTTGTCTAGGTAAAGACCTGTCTTCTCAAGGATATATATGGGAGACACCTCTCCACTGTGCTGCCATGATGGGGAAACTTGAAGCTATGGAGGAATTGCTCGGCGCGTGCCCGGAATCTGCCATGTCAGTGACTGCAAGAGATGAGACACCTCTTCATGTTGCTGTCATACACAATCAGTTTCAGGCCTTCAAGCTGTTGGTGGAGTGGGTTGAGAAGAGAGATAAATTGGAGCTCATCAACAGGAAGGATTATGGTGGGAATACAGTACTTCACCTGGCTACATCAAGAAGACAATACCAGGTAAGATCACTCTCTTCCTCCTGCTCTTACTTCTTTTCTTGTTGAGTAATACAATCGAAACCTAAAAAACTGACTTAATTTATTGACACAACGACTTGTCAAGTGATAGAGTTCTAGCGAAGAATCCTAAGATTTAGACCACGTCACTGCCACATCTTTAAGTGAGCAAATTGTGTCAGTTTTTTAGGTTTTATGTACTCTTTGTTGCTTGATATTCCTCCTGCTCATGTCACACAAGGCACAAAATTCAGGTACATGGACACTTGCATCAAATGGATCTAGGTAAGTTGTTATCAATAATAAGCTCAAGAAAAAGCAAGAAAATACTTTTCATACATGATGCTGTTATGGGAATGTTGTTTTGAATGAGATTTCTCTCTAAAAAGGAAATAAAAAAAAAAAAAAAAAGAAGGAAAGTTTTATGGATTAGATTACTGGGAAATTTTGATGCAAGAAAGGATCTCAAGAGCAAGTTTGTTTTGATTTTTATCAGGCTTGTTCCATGACTTGCATATTGTCAATCCTCGTGGGAGATACTGAAGGTATTAATTTCCAAAATTGTTAGATTTCATTTTGTAATTTTACTTGAGTTAAACAATAGAGTACTTATGGTTTCTATGCTAAAGCCTACATGCACCAACAGTAGTGTTGGCCACCAGTAATTGTTGGATTAGTGAACCCACATTTTTTTTTTTTGGTATTACGGTAAAAATTGTCAACGCCAGCTTATGTACACCTTGACTAGTTCCCTTCTTGATTCTGTCAAAGACAAATCATTTATTCTGAGACTAACCTGGTCTCAATAGAGTTGTCAAGTTTCAACCCACTAATCGATTTCAAATGGAAGGGATAAGAAAGGGTCAATGCACCAATAGTATTTTAAAAAAAAAAAGAAAAATTTTAATCACACTCCTTCTAGTTTATCATATCTTTAAAGACATCCCCTCTATTTTCTGAATCTTCACTGACATCCCCTGTTAGATTAAAAATATTAACTAGAATGCAATTTTATTAAATTGCCCCATCGTATATTTGAGGACAAACTTCATCCACACACTTTCTAGATAAGCATATCTTCAATGAGACCCCTTATATTTTCTAATTCTTTTTACGTATTAAAATTCGAGTCAATTAAAATTCAATTCAAGCTAATTAAAATTTATTTTTTTACATATTAAAATTTGAACCGATTAAAAATTATTTTTAATCAATTCGTATTGAATTTTAATCAGCCAAAATTTTAATACATAAAAAAAATATAAACTAGAAAGGGTGTCAGTGATGTTTTTGATAATAGAGAGAATGTCCTTAAAAATATAATAAATTATGAGGGGTGGCTGAAATTTTCCCAAGAAAAAACCATAAAGACTAGCAATCCCACCCCTTCTGTTTGTGCTCTGAATAATTGGTATTGTAGTAAAATTGAATAAAGACATCACTAAAGCAGTATTGCTTCTCATGGCTATGCTTAGAAGATTGAATTGAGAACAAAAAACAAAATAGTAATGCTACATGAAGTTAAAGAGTAGACTTAAAAATTAGATTTGATAATCTCAACTATTGAATAGGTAGTGGGTCTTAATAAATGCTGAGACCCATAGTGAAATCAATGGTTGAGATTATCAAGTCTAATTTTTAAGTCTACTTTTTAAGTTCGTGGGACATTGCTCAAAACAAAAAAACAAATAGGCTTATGTGGTTCAGATAGCCAATCAAAGCACCCAGATGCTCAATTTCTCTAAACAGAAATTCCAAAGCAGCAGGGGAAACAGAGGAAATGAAGCTCTGTTTTGGTGGTCTATTCAAAGACCTTCCTAAACCGCTGGCAGGGAGGCAGGACCATTTTATAGACACAACCTACACCCAAAGTAAAGCAATAGACCTGTTAGACTTGTGAAATAAATGGGTCCATATGAAAGAAATAAATGGGTCTATATGAAGCCGACTAAACTCGAGATGACCTACTAAACATGGCTTGAACATGTCTTATACAAAACACGAGTCCAANATGGGTCTATATGAAGCCGGCTAAACTCGAGATGACCTACTAAACATGGCTTGAACATGTCTTATACAAAACACGAGTCCAACACGACACGAATCTGAATATACACGATTATTATAGGTTGAGTTAGAGTTGAGCAAATTTTTATGCGACACCAATATACACGATTACAAATGGGTCAAATATGGATTGCGCAAGTTTTGACACGACACAACCTAAGGTTCTTTTCACTATCACTATCACCGCTACTGATGCTATGGATTTTTTTTTTTGAACGGACGCTGCTATGTATTGAAAATTGCTAATTTTGACCAAATTTATTGACCCGGCCTAATTTATCATAGACATTGAATTGTTAGCGGGTAGGTAAATTAAGTCCAAGTAGGATTGCTTCTATGTTTTTGATCTATGGTTCTGACTCCAAATGTTGGTCAACTTTGTCCAAGGGAAAGATTATGGATGACACTAGCTAGCAGGATTGTTATATCTAATCATGTTTGCTTCATTATTTATGCAGACACTAGAAATATTGGTAGCTGGTAATCCAGCCATTAGGGCTGCAACAGAGGTAAACGCCACAAATGCTGGGGGTTTTACAGCCATTGACATCTTAGATGACCTGCCACCATGTGAAGAGAGAGACATGGAAATCGAAAAGACCCTTCAAAGAGCAGGAGCTTTAAGAGCCAACCTCTCAAGCAAGTTCAACTCGACTCCACATAACACGAATAAACCTTTCAAAACCTTGAAGCAAAGAGGTGATAAATATACCTTCATGTTACTAACAGTGGCAGTGGTAGCAACAACAATAACATTTTTTGCAGTATTGTCCCATCCTGGATGCACTTGGAAAGAAGCATACGAGTCCGAGTCCGAGTCCGAGTCTGAATCCGAATCTGAGTTTGAGTCCGATTCCAACCAAAGAAGCATCCTCCTCAATGCTTTGGTTCCTGCCAGTTTGTTCATCTTCTTCAACTCCACAGTGTTTTTCACTTCAATAGCCATGCTTATACACATCACAAGTGAATTTCCAATGAAACCCTGGCTGCTCATTACTATGTCCTCATTACTTGGCTCTTACACATGCTCTATAGCAGCAATATCACCTGATGTGCAGCTGAATCTCTTCTTCCTGGCAAGTCATGCTGTATTTTTGACAGTTGCCTGGATAATTATGGTCTACACTAGGAGCCATGTGAATGCTAAAGATATCCTGGGGTAAATACGTTCATATGGTCCTTAAATTATGACCCACCCTCGTTTTAAATACCCCGAACCTTTCAGTTGTCTCAATTTTTTCTTTGAACTTCTAACATTGTTTCAATATGTCCCTTCAATCAATTTCAAGTTTCAAAGCTCACGATTTTCCACACGTGACAATTACGTGCCACCATTATGGATAGCGTATGGATAAATAATTTTAAAGTCTTAACAACTTTATAATTGTTTATTATCGTGTCTGAAATGTCAACCATATCTAAATAAATTATGGTTTCAGACGCAATAACGAGTGATTATCAGGTCTTTGAGGCTTTAATCCCTATACTGCCCTAATAGTAGCGCATGATTTTCAACTGAAGAAAAAAATGTTGGTTTTGATGCCTGCCTGAAATTGATGTGAGGGACCAAACTGAAAGGATTTAAAAAGTTCAAGGGCTAAATCTAATAATCGAAAATTTACGATGTATTTTAAAGCTAAGATCATACTTTAAGGACTATTTATATCATGTATCCTAAAAATAAATTCAGGACACTTTGTGTATCTTTTGCTTGTTTACTCTGTATAAGTATGTGTAGGGACAGTTCAAAGAGAGGGTCAGTGTAAATATTAGAAGTTTTATGCTTGTTTGATGTTTCAAGCTCTGGAGTCTCTCTTTCTAAAGCAAAACATCTTATCTGTATTGTATTCTGTTCAAGTTAACTACTGTTAGACAAAGGTCTGAGACTATGAATAATCTGTAATGTTCAATTTAACTTATCCTTATTGCAACAAAAAGTATCCCGAGCTGCTTGAATATGTATCTTTTTCTTTGTTAGCAATGTAGCTAAGCGAACCCGCACGGTTAGCTTAGCGGTGTGGAGTTAGACTTGGACGAACCATAGATGTTTGATCTTTGTTGGTGTCATTCGGACTTAATTGATATCTGTAATTTGTGGGTGATTGTAAATATCCAAAATTTACTCTCGCATAGATGAGTCAAGAGTTGTCTTAGAGATGTAGAAAGAATGATTTAACGTATGTGACGCCAAAAGTATAGTAAGTAATTGGATTCACACCCCCTCCATCATTCATTTCCTTCAATTCGCTCTAATACGTTGCTAGATGAGTGATATGTATAAAATTTTGAATTTTAATTGATAAGATTCTTATCTTGTGAGATAATATCTTAACCATGGTTAACACTTTAGTAATAACAAAATGAATAATGAAATATTTTGTCCATTAAAATTCAAAACTTTACACATGTCACTTATTTAGTATTATATTGAAAGGAATTGAAGGGAGGGTAATGACGAGAATCTAAATCCGGAGTAATTGGATTGTGGATGTCGTTTTTATGAGCTCAATATATATTATTAGATCTTATTCAGGTATTCGTGTTCAAAATTTACGCGATACATTGTTTTAATAATTCATGAAAATCAAGGGATATATCAATATATTTTACCATTTAAAAGCTAAAAGTCAATCTACGCGTAAAAGACTATGGGCACTTTCGGTGGAATTATTTATCACTTTATAGCAATTTTAAAATATATTTAAAAAAATACGACATTTTTAAACTTATTTACTAAATTACGACACTTTTCAAAAAATAGAGTCATCAATCTTGCTTTTAAGAGTGAATTAATTGGGTTTAACAACCTTATTTTACATATGGCTAAAGCGATGAAAAACTTTTCCCAACCAATCATTAAAAGCAAAGTTATTTGACTTCGTTTTTTAACAAAAATTAGTCAACAACCCTATTCTTTAAAAAGTATTGTAGTTTGAGAAATAAGTTCAAAAGTATTATATTTTGGTAAATTTGTTTTAAAATTATCATATAGTAGTAAATAACTCCATTTAGATGATAATAGTTTTAATTGAGAATGAATATCTTATTCTTAATAACGAGATATTTGGATTTCAATTATCATAGTAATCTCATATTTAATATTTAATTATAATAAGTAGTCTTGTGTGGAAATTAATGCCCTTGTAAAAATATTTAGGAAAAAACTTAATTTTAGAAAAGAAATTAATTTTAGGAGGAGAATTTAATTTTTGAAATAAAATTAATTTTAGCAAGGAACTTCATTTTGAGATTTTTATTCCTTTTATAGAAACCATTAGTCATGAATGTAGGATAAACTCCATTATTGAGAATTTGAATACAATAGGAATCTTATTCCTAAGTTAAATTAGTGAATAATTAACTCTATAAACATAATAATTTAGGATTTAAAAATAAGAATTTTATTCTCAATTAAGATTACTGTCATTCAAACAGGACCTAAAATTTATTAAAAAAGTGAATTTATAGCAATCGAGAGCCAAAAATCTGATTCCACCCAGTAAAATAGAAATAAAAATATTTTAAATTTTAAATAAATAGCGACCTTAAATGAATAAATTCGGTCAAACAAAATTAATGGAAACCCACTAATTCAAAGATACAGATTTGAAATACTAGCAATGCACCACGTGCGTTGCACGTCACTAAATTTTTTTTAAAAAAATTAATAAATAATTTTTTGGTATATATGTACTTGAATTAAATATCATCTCAATTTTACCAAACTTATTTGTTCATTGCTCATGCTCCATTATATAATTTTTTAAAATTTTGTATATTTTCAAGATTGGTTATTCTAACTTTAAGAAAAATGATAAAATAAATAATTAAAGTTATATTTTTTCTATAATTTTGTAATTGAAAGTATTTTTTTAGTGATGTTTGAAAATTAAATTTTTTAAAATTAATTTGATTAAGATTCCACTTATAAATCATTGAACAAAATAAAAATAATTATCAATATACCAATCGTATTGGAATCTTACTATATTTAGGATTAGTTAAGTTAATTGAGATAAAATTTAATATACAACGTTATAATATATATTATAAAATATATTAAAATTTTAAAAAAATTCAAATTTTTACATAAAATCTTAATACAGTTTAAAAAATATATTATAACTAAAAAATCATACAAATTATATATACATTATTTTTTTCTTAAAAATAAAATGATTTTGATGAAAAATAAAATATGCATATGTAGTCATAATATTATTTTTATAAATGAGATGAGTATTATTATATTAATGGAGTTTTTGAAGGGTTTTTTTGAATATTTTGTTAAAACTTATAATAATGCATATATTTTTTAAGAGTAATATAATCAATCAAAAATTTTCATAAAAATTGACATTTATAAATAGAGAATAAATAATTAAAAAATTTATTTGATTAAGATTTCACTTATAAATCATTGAATAAAATAAAAATAATTATTAATATATTAATCAAATTGAAACGTTACTGTATTTAAGATTACTTAGATCAATTGGGATAAAATTTAATATACAATGATATAATATATATTATAAAGTATATTAAATTTTTTTAAAAACCAAGTTTTCACGTAAAATTTTAACACAGATTGAAAAATTTATTGTAACTAAAAATTATGTAAAGATATAATACATTATTTTTTATTTAAAAAATGAAAGGGTTAAACATTTTGATGAAAAATAAAATATACGTATATAATCATAATATTATTTTTATACATGAGCTGAGTAATATTATATTAATAAAATTTTTGAAGGTTTTATTGAATATTTTGTTAAACTTATAATGACACATATATTTTTTAAACTTAATATAATAAATCAAAAAGTTTTATAAAAATTGATATTTATACATAGAAAATATATAATTAAAAGTGATTTTAGATGTAATTTAAAGATTTAAATGTATAAGGACATGATGATAATTTAGATATTAAGTGTGCAAGGACAGATTGATCTTTTTTATTATTTATAAGGGTAAAATAGTAAATCAAAAGTTTTACATATTAAAGTACTTTTATATATATATATTGATAATTTGAGGGTAGGGATTGATTTAATGGACACCACTGATTAAAAAATAAATAAAAAAAAAAATTTGGGATGCCAGCATTGCTATTAACGAAAGTTTTGGTCCAGCCTGCCGTATCCAATTCCGAAGTCAAACTAATGGGTCTAAGATTTAAAAGTCAAAATCCAATTTTAATTTGTCTTTATTAGCGAATCACATTTTGCCACGTATACATCAAACACGCTCACCGCTCCGGGGGAAGAAAGTCTCTNAATTTTAATTTGTCTTTATTAGCGAATCACATTTTGCCACGTATACATCAAACACGCTCACCGCTCCGGGGGAAGAAAGTCTCTGTTCATTGTTCACGACGCTCTGGTGTGTGCTCGCAAACGTTTCGGAGTTCCATCTCTACATTCACATTCCGATGGATCTTCTTACTCTCGCCTCATCATCTCTCTCAAGAAATCCTCCTTCACTTCTTCTCTGTAGAAATTTAATCTTTCCCAAACCTCATTATCTAATTAGAACGTCTTCAAATTCCATTTATCCGACTCTACAATCCGAAATTTATTTGAAAAAGGCGCTGATTTGGCGCCGGAATTANGAACGTCTTCAAATTCCATTTATCCGACTCTACAATCCGAAATTTATTTGAAAAAGGCGCTGATTTGGCGCCGGAATTATCAGCCGGTCAGAGATCAAAATTCAGATCCTACCGATCATGACGACTTCGTTCTCGAAGACGTTCCTCACTTGACAAATTTCCTCCCTGATTTACCGGTAATTCTTGTTTCAATTTGATCTCTCTATCAAATATTTACATAACTATTTGCGTGTATGAAGGAATCGAATCGAATGAATTCTCACCAGTACCGAATAAGTTATTTGGTGAAAGATATCATCATTTCCAGATAATGCTTATGATTGATTTACTAAGTTCAAAGCTGAGAGTTGGCTACGAGCCTACGATAATTTTGAAGAGTTTCGATAGAGGTGGAATTGTAATATTGAATATGAGAAAGCTGTAGATATATTCCCTCATTTTGATCATCTTAAGTTATTTCTGATGACAGAGTTGTATTAAGTATCTATTTGTTATTTTCTCCAGTCATATCCGAATCCATTGCAAAAGAGTCAAGCTTATGCAATAGTCAAGTAAGTTCACCAAATTTCCAATAAAAATCTCGAATATATATATTTGTAAATGTCTTTATGTAGTCGTCTCTATGGAATCTCATTGGCTGGCCATTTTCCGCTGAGAAATCTATTGTTTTGCCAGGAAAACTTTTGTTAGCCCAGAAGATGTGGTCGCACAGCAAGTATGTGAGCATTTTACTTCTACTGTTTACCGTTTAATATAAACTTTCTATATACCGTGTTTACTTTGCTGCTTGTTATTTTTGCTACCAGATTGTTGTTCAGAAGGACAGTCCTAGAGGAGTGCATTTTCGGAGGGCAGGGCCCCGGGAAAAGGTAAAGCTATAATACACTGACAAGTGATAACTGTATGGGGTATTGATCTAAATTGACTATGGACTAAATATGATATCAGGTTTATTTCAAGTCAGAAGAAGTGCGTGCATGTATAGTAACATGTGGCGGATTATGCCCAGGAATCAATACAGTGATCCGGGAGATAGTATGTGGCTTGAATAATATGTATGGTGTTGATGATGTACTCGGAATTGAGGTGAGTTTTTTGTGGGACATTTTTCTTCATTATTAAAGATTTATCAGTTACCAGGGTGTTGTGTAATTTATGCCTTTTTTACTCCATCAAAAGAAAAGTAATTTTAGACAGTTTGTGGTGTGTATTCAAGGTAATTATAGTTGATGATACCTTTTTTTTTTTTTCGGTTTTAGAAAGTCTGACTGAACCTATTTATATAGCATGGTTTTGCACCACAATTTCTTTCTGAATTGTCATTTCATGTAATTATTTTTGCGTTGTCCATTCTCTGTTCAAAGCTTAACATCTAGAGATCCTTTTTATTATCTTCCAAGTTTACAAGCAATAGTTTATGCATCCCACCATACTAGTGTTAAAAATTTCCAGGGAGGTTATAGAGGCTTTTACTCTAAAAATACCATGAAATTGACGCCTAAAGTTGTCAACGATATCCATAAACGTGGCGGAACCTTTCTTCAAACTTCACGAGGAGGTCATGATACCAACAAGATAGTTGATAACATTCAGGATCGGGGGATTAATCAGGTGGAGATTAATTTCCCTTCTCACCAAATTGGTAGCATTTTTTCACTTTTTCTTGGAATCCCTTATCTCTTTCTGGGTTCCAGGTGTACATAATTGGAGGTGATGGTACTCAAAAAGGAGTAGCTGCAATTTACAAGGTGATTGTTCTTATAACTATCAATGCATCTCCATAATAGTTGCTTGTTGTGCACTATTTCATGTCAAGATCTTATTTTAACATCTTCGTCTAGGAAGCTGAGAAACGTGGTCTTCAAGTAGCAGTAGCTGGAATCCCCAAGACAATTGATAATGATATTGCAGTAAGTACTACCTGCCATGCTATTATGATGTTATCAAACAATTCTGCTGTTTACTTATACAGGATGGTAAACTTATCTCTCTTAAGCTTGAATTATAGTGCCCTGATCCTTGTATTGATTTATGTGGTTGTGGTACTTCCGAAGTCATGTGGCTGGTAGCCTCTATTTGACTAGCAAAGGGAAAAGGAAAAGGGAAAATTGAAAACTATGCTTAAAAGCAACCTTGCCCATGGCTAATGTCTTGGTGGACAACTATTTAAGGATAGTCGTGTTATCCCTAGTTCTCACATCCAAAGATATTTTGGATTTTATGTGTTTGGTTTCAGGTGATTGATAAATCTTTTGGTTTTGATACTGCTGTTGAAGAAGCTCAGAGGGCTATTAATGCTGCTCATGTGGAGGTGGAAAGCGTGGAAAATGGAGTTGGTATAGTTAAACTCATGGGTCGATACAGTGGTAAGTGACTTGTGCAGTATTTATTGGTTGGTTTCAAGTTATAAAATCTTCATTTTTAGTGTCTTATTATTTGCTTCTACTTCCCTGACTTTATTCTGCAGGGTTCATTGCTATGTACGCAACGTTGGCAAGCCGTGATGTGGTAAGATCACCAATTCATTGTGTAGTTCATATTGAAAATATTCTGGATCAAATCTTGGTGAAGTTAAAATGTTTAATATTTGTGTGCAAAGTAAAAGATGAAACAGCAGGCCACAGAACTCTATGTAGAAACTTAGTCCTTGTCTTGGAATTAGCATTGTATTACACTTATCATGATCATCCTAGTCTGGTTGACTTTGTCTCCTTGGCTTTCTGTTGCACACAGTTTAGTGGCTCTCCCATTTCTATATGCTTTTTCCTTACTCTATCTTCTACCGAAATTAGTCTGTGCTATTCATAAGAAATTGAATTAATGAGAGTTTATGTGAAAATATCTCAGCTTGTCTGGAAAATTTGGCTTTTCTTTTCCAATGCTTTGGGAAAAAAAGAATCCGAAAGTTTGGCTTCTTAGTCACCTGCTTCATTTTTGTTTAAGCAACAATTTTTGTGGATAATAGTATAATGTTCATAGTGGATTTAGAATATGTCTTGCTAAGAATCAATGNAAAAAAGAATCCGAAAGTTTGGCTTCTTAGTCACCTGCTTCATTTTTGTTTAAGCAATAATTTTTGTGGATAATAGTATAATGTTCATAGTGGATTTAGAATATGTCTTGCTAAGAATCAATTATCATTTTGGTACTCGGATGAGTTTATGTTAGGTTTGGTTCTAATATTTTCCATTATTGTTTATATAGAATTATGTAGTTCCTTGCTACACCCTTCTNTGATCATTTTGGTACTCGGATGAGTTTATGTTAGGTTTGGTTCTAATATTTTCCATTATTGTTTATATAGAATTATGTAGTTCCTTGCTACACCTCCTAATAGATGTGCATTATATGTAGATCAACATTTTTGATGGATTCCATGACGATTAATATCAGAAAGTTAACATACAAAAACATAAAAGATAATGTGTTCGTTTGAAATATGCTTAGCTGGTTGTGATTGTATTGCTGGTCTAGCATAATAAGACTCACATCTGTTAATAGCTTTTGGATTGCAACAGGATTGTTGCTTGATTCCAGAGTCTCCATTCTATCTGGAAGGCCAGGGTGGAGTTTTTGAATTCATTGAACAGCGGCTTAAAGAAAATGGGCATATGGTGATTGTATTGGCGGAAGGAGCAGGACAGGAATATGTTGCTCAGAGCATGCACGCTGTAGGTGACAAAGATGCATCAGGAAACCGGCTACTTCTTGACGTTGGTCTATGGTTAACTCAACAGATTAAGGTATAGTGCAAGATGATAATTTTTCATGTTTGTTGAATTATGTCATTTTGTTACAAGGTTGTTTTAAGTGAAATTGCCAAGCTGTCATTCACAAGTATATACACACAACTTTTGGCTCTCGATCACCCAAATATGAGTCTCCATTCTTGTAAACATGTTGCTGTCAATGGCCAATATAAAGGAAACCTTTTGTGATCTAGATGTTCTTTCACGAATTGATTTCAACAGAGTTGATATGACAGCTTAAGTATATTAATCAGAGAACGTTTTTCTTTACACCAATCTTATTAATATCTGGAATTGGTTACTTTCATGCCTTGATGTCCCATAACATGAATTTTTTCTTCTTGTTTTCTGGCAAAGAGAAAAAAAGTTATGTGGTACCAATATACACACTTCCACTTTCTATGTTGTTCCAGTAGCAGCCCCAATCACTTGTCAAGGGCATTTGCACAACTCGTAGCTCTTTATATAACGATGCTGCTATACTTCACTGGGAACCGTGGAAAAAGAAGCATCCAATAAAATATGAGATATTAAGATCCTTTATTGAAATACTTTTAAGAAGAGTTCTTGGAAGTGGTATGGATACTTGAACTAGCATATTATCCTTTGCTTGATCTCATGAATTGTTACAGTTGTCACTGGATGTACTTGTTTGTGCTGGGGCATTTTTCTTTCCATTTGTTTGAGTGGGCTATACTTTATTTTGCCACTCTCTCTTTTGCCACTTTTTATGTTTATTTATACTAGATCTTTATATGCTCCATGTCACAGGATCATTTTACAAATTCCCAGCAGATGGCAATAAACCTGAAATATATAGGTACTACCAAATTGGTATATGTTTTTTTTTTATTTGCTTTGCTCCACATGACATACTGTCCTCATTGTTTTTGTTTAATTTTCTTTTATTCCATCATGTATTATACGTGTGTACGTGGATTTACGTTATTTTTTTTTATTTTTTCTCATCAGAAGAGAAATTACTCACCTAGCGTGAGTGGCAATTTCTGCTATCTCCAAGGGGGAGGGGCAGGGACTTTAATTCAATTGGAACATGGATGCATGAACTTAAAATGAGATGCTCTTCCTCTCACTGTCTCTCTTTAACTATTCTGAAAGGTAATCAGGCTGTGTAACGTAAAAACATTTTTTTATTTGTGGGGGTGGGGGCAAAGGATCAATAAAACTATGGATTGAGATTTAAATTTTTGTGACTGAATTAGTTCTCAATGAAGTATTTTGGTATATCAGCTATAGAAAGGACCAGAAATGCACCATGATATGGGCTCCTAGGAGTCATGGCCAAGAGTTTGGCTCTCCAATAATTATCTGAATTTATCATATTATCATAGTGTTGAGATGTAGTTCATGTAGTCATTTGTTGTGTTTTGGAGTGAGAACAATTACGATATTAAGAAGTTCGCTTTGGTGTTTGGTCATTCCAAGATTAGGCAGCTTTATGTAGTTGAAACAGATTTTTTTTTTTTCCTGGTAGTTAATTGAACTCTTTGCTTTAGGTGGTATTCCTATAAATGACCCCTATTCCCTCCCTTTTCTTGTTTCTGTCGTTATTTTTATCTTAAATTGTAGACTGAAAAAGGAAACTATTGAACTTAGTTTAATAGAATATTTCTCCTCTATGAAGCCTCCCTTACAAAGAGTTTAGGCAGGTATGACTTTACTTTTGCTTGCATATGAATCTATGCTTTTACTCGTTTGTGGACAGGGCCATGTGATCTGCCTTGATCTCAGTGATTGTTTAGAGATGGGTTTAAAATTGTAAGTGGTTTTNTATTGAACTTAGTTTAATAGAATATTTCTCCTCTATGAAGCCTCCCTTACAAAGAGTATAGGCAGTTATGACTTTACTTTTGCTTGCATATGAATCTATGCTTTTACTCGCTTGTGGACAGGGCCATGTGATCTGCCTTGATCTCAGTGATTGTTTAGAGATGGGTTTAAAATTGTAAGTGGTTTTCACTTTTAGGGGCATTCTATTTTTTTTTTGCCCGAGTATAGTGAGTATAAATATGAAGAATAAGAGAGAATCCTGCAACTTTCTTCTGTCATTGCTCTTTTTCTTCTCTTTTCCTCCTATTCGGTACGATATATTGTTATCACTACAGGATTCTGAGAACTACACATGATTCTCTCACTCCACATCTTCTAATGAATCTGATCCAAATTGCAAGCGTATTGTTCTCTATATACACTCATCAGTGTCTTTAAATCTCATAGTTTGACTTCATTATTTATATCTTGCATCTGCAGATCCCACATACATGATCCGAGCTATTCCTAGTAACGCATCAGACAATATCTACTGCACACTTCTTGCACAGAGCGCTGTTCATGGGGCCATGGCAGGATACACAGGCTTCACTGTCGGACCTGTAAACAGCAGACATGCTTATATTCCAATTGGCGTGAGCACTCCTATTCCTTGGTCTGCATTTATGTTCGATAATATGCATTTGGAGTTGTGTTGCTTATATATAATTTGGCGAATTGAATATTCAAGTTTGCTCTACCATGTGGAAATCTGATTTTATCTGATGGTGTGCGGCATTGCAGCGTGTGACTGAAACTCAGAACATTGTCAAGTTGACAGACAGGATGTGGGCTCGACTTCTTGCATCTACTAATCAACCCAGTTTCCTAAAAAATGAGTTTATGCAAGAAAAAGTTGATAAAGAGACAATAGATGTGATCAACAACGTGAAGATTACTTGAGCAGTGGAATCTTGCAAATATGATCTGAAAGTACACAGCTCTTGTATCTCGCCTTTCTGCTGAAAGCCTCTCTTGCCAGTAATGAAGTGGTAAGGGTATCGACTACCTTTTAAGATGGCCATTCATTGAGCAGAGGTTATCGATGTGTTTGCTTGTAGGCATGGATATGTAGGTTCATATTTTTCTTAATGGCTTGTTGAAGATCTTATTCATTGTTTGTAGATGACATCCAGCGATATATCTTAGTCATACTTAACCATAAATAGGAAATCAATAACACAGCATACTTGGACAGATTATGTGCACTTGCTTATTGCAAAATTACTTGTCTATTAGACTCAGTATATGGAACTATGACATTTACCTATCTGTACAGAAACTTACTAGGTAGAGCACCTTTGAATTCAAGGTTAGCGATTGGTCTAATGACCAATGCCCTCTCTGTTAGACCTTAAAGTTGCGGGTTCGAATTTCGTTGTCTCCTTCTTTGTACTTTGTAGTATTTTCTGAATTCCCCCCCAAAAAAGGAATCAGTGGGCTTGTAGATGATCTTTTGATTTATATATCATACTGAATTTTCCTTTCTGGTAATATTAAGTGGAATAGTATTTTGATCAACAAATGCTTATTCATGATAACAATCGCCCAAATTTTGTTTTTTTTCAAATTATTTGCCCGAGTGATTCCGGTTCCAAATTTCATTAGCTAGTATTGATAAATCTAAATGTGAGCAAAGTCGAATTGAAGGTTTAAGTTGAAATTCAATTTGGGTCGATTGTTTTTTGGTTCAATATGTAAGAGTGTTTAGGTCAGTTTACGCATACCTCGATTAATCTCCTCTTCAATCTGGTTAATGGCTGATCATNTTTTGGTTCAATATGTAAGAGTGTTTAGGTCAGTTTACGCATACCTCGATTAATCTCCTCTTCAATCTGGTTAATGGCTGATCATCCATATCAGGACTAAGACATTTGTGATGGATAAATCTCTCATGATTTGACTTTAAGGAATTACTAAAATTCGAATTCAGAACGTCTAAATTTATAGTTTATCCTTGTTATCATTTGAACTATTTGCTAATATTGGATGGAGTGTTTATTACATTGGTTCCTCTCCAATTTCTCAAGAGTTGAAGTATCTTCAAAATTATTTTTTGAACAGTTAAAATTTGTAGTCACCAACAGATTTTAAATTTAAGAAAATTTTTGAATCAATTAAATTTACTTATATGTATAGATTTTGATGAAAAGTTTAGAACTGAAGGTTTGTTTAATTCTTAAAAAATTAGAGGGTAATCGAACCGTTATTACCAACCCCTCCCCTAAAAAACAAAAAAAGAATTGAAAAGAAAAAGCTGTCTATGGGTAAGGCTTAGGCAACGAAACAATAAGAAAGAAAAATAACAGTATTTCTCCTCAATCAAATTGGTTTTGCAACGGAGTAGAAGAAGAAAGGCGAGTAAAGGCGAAAAGGTGACCGTGCACATTGAATAGGCCACATGCACAAGTGGCCGATCCAAGAATATTTATAAGAGATAAAATATAATTAAAAATAATTTATTAGTTAATATAAAAATATTATATTAATTTCAAGAATGAGAAAAGATTAAGACTCAAGATAAAATTTTTATGAAATAATAAATTTAATTTTTTTAAACTAACAAAGTCTGAATAAAAAGACACAAAATAATTTTTTTAGTATATTTTTAACTTAATTATATATTTCAATAAAATATAACGCTCTTTAAAATTCCTAAAATTTTGTATATTAATTAAATATAAATTAATTTTTCACTAATTTTCTATCAATGCATATAATCACAAGTCCGTAATAAAATCATTCTTCATTTAATTGCAAAACTCAATTGAAATCATTATCAATATAATATAATAGCTATTGAGACATATATGAGTCTTGTTTTATTAACTAGCCAATGCATACCCAATGCNACTAATTTTCTATCAATGCATATAATCACAAGTCCGTAATAAAATCATTCTTCATTTAATTGCAAAACTCAATTGAAATCATTATCAATATAATATAATAGCTATTGAGACATATATGAGTCTTGTTTTGCACTTTTTATGAAGTAATGTCTGTTTAAGTGATTTTTTAAAAATTCAAATAGTATTTATTTAATAAAAGTGTTTTTCTTGTAAAATATTTCAAAGAAACACTTGTTTAAGTATTTTTTAAATTTCAAGAGACATCCCAATCGCCACGTAAAAGTAGAGCCAAAAACACTTTCATACAAGAGCCATGTCATTTGGTCCCATTTTTCCGTCATCCAAACAATCTACAATTAGAAGAAAACTAAGGATCCGCTAGGGGTGGATTTCGTATGGGGCAGTTACCCCCACTAAAATTTTAAAAAAAAATTGGGATCTAGGTATAATTTTGAAAATTCTAAATCTTACCCCTACTGAAATTTTTATAAAGTGTAAGACAAATTAGTGTGATTTTTAAACTATTAAAACATAACTTTTGGGTGCCTCCTCACCCTTAGTTTTCATGCACGCCATTTTACCCATCTTCGGTCGAACATTGGTCTGTGTCTTCTTTTCACCCACTGGTCCAATTCTTTTTTTTTTTCCTTTCTTGATTACTTCATTTGGTATATTCATCGACAAATTGACCTACTAATTCGATTATTGTGCAAATCATGTTTTGAAGAAACCCTAAAAGATTATGTTAGAACTATAGTGAGATAATTCATTAACTATAAATTTTTTTCTTAATTTTTATAGATTCTCATCTATTAGAAAATAGGAATTTACATGTGGATATATAACAGTCTAGCACTAAATCAGGTTTTTCATATAATTGAATTAGTTAAGTTCTTGTCGAATTGAAGCATCGATGACTGTTTGGTGTATTATTTCGGATCCTGGGCTTGGTTGCATATATTGAGAAAGATGTTTCAAGTGTCATTGAAAATAAAATGATTATGCAACAGTTTCAAAATATGAAAATTCGTCGGGAATAATTATAAAGATTTATTAGATATTCGAGAGTTAAGAGCTCCCTTTGTATAAAATCTCGAACACTAAAGAATATTTTTGATGTGAAACTTTTTTTGTACATAAACTCATATACATGAGTTACGTTTAAAAATGACATTCTTTTGATATAAACTATGCTTACTTCTCTAAATGATAGTCTTTTAATGTAACTATGCTTATAAACAATTTAGGTTGCCTTTACTAAGGCAAAAATCTGGCTCCACCCTAACATCCACCATCAAGTCACCACCTATTCCTACTTCATTAATATGAATATTATCATGGTTTGATTCTTTTAGGCATTTGATTCTCACCCAAAACTATCCATTGGAAAGAAAGTTACTTTGTTTCTAGAAATATAATGCTTGTGAGTTATACTTGTCAAATAATCACATCAAGAGGTCACACTTTTCCACCGACATAAATTTGTGGTTCTCTTTACTGATTTGCGTTTTAACTTTTTTTATCAATTTGTTTGTTATCAATAATTTAATTTTTTGGTAATCCTGCTGTCTCAATAGATTACAATAGTACGTTTTATTTCACTTATTAAGCAGATTAGTGTTGGACCTTATATAGAACGTCTCTCTATACAAGAGTGTTGGGCTTTTGTGAAGTCTAATTTTATGTTGATCCGGATGATGACCCGACCCGAAATAATATTGCATGATTTTTAATGAAAAATTTTCTGAAATTTAGTCTATAGAGCGAAAGCTTGGGTTGATTGACTCTTTACGTTTGCTCCCTTTCTAATAATAGTGAAATCTCTGCAGTTTCGTAAACGTAGACAAATTATCGAACCACGTAAATACTGTCTTTTGCGTGTGATTGTTTTTCTTTGGCCCGTATTTTCTCTATTATTGTTTCTCACAGGTTTGAGAATTTCGTGTGAATTTACTATCAAAGAGAGTAAATTTATGAGTGATGACCCCAAAGAGATGAATGTTTTGTGAGATATTTAAATCTTTGACTTATGTCTGTAAAGACGTTTATATTATGTGATTAATCTATCACTAAACTAACCTTTGGGGTTGTTTGTTATCAATAATTGATCTATACTACCCTCTTGTTTTTATCTTTGGTGCTTTTTTGATTATTTTCCCAACTTTGGTCAATAGCATAGATTGCTTATAATTGGGTGCTCGACCTATCATTGCATATAACACTCGAGCACTAGTTTTGTATATTCAAACTTAAAAAATAGGGTGTGAGTCACAAAATTTATAATTAAATATCAAAATTTAACTTTCTTTATACAAACATATAAACCAACCAACCAATAAAACAATCAACAAATCAATCAAAATAATTAAAATTAGCGGTTAAACTAATGACCACCGCTTCTTACTATTACACCTCAGTTTAAACCTCACCCTTCTCTACTTAATAATTTTTTTTTCTATTACTATTATGTACATCGAAAACCCTGACCTTTTTTTTTGTAGTTTTTTTTTTTTTTTTTTTTTTGGGGGGATAAATCTAAGCCTTGCATCACCTCAGACTCATATGACGACAGGTGACTCTTAATTTAGTAAACTCCGTCAAGACCATGTAACCGTTTCTTAGGTAACCGTAAGCCAAGGATACCCCAAATTGGGATGAGGAGATAACGGCGATAACGGAGGCACCTCAAAAATACCTTTAACGTCGGCGCAATCCCAAACGGTCGTCCAACTTGACGGCGTTAATGGACCAGCCGCCGCTAAAACTCTCTCACCATTGCTGTCCGATTCCGTCACTTCCTCCTTCTTCACTTCCTTATTGAGTCTCACAGTATCTTCTCTGTCCTCCTCCTCTCTCCCTCTTTTCCGGCATTTACTCGCCGATGGATAGGTTTCCGGCGAGTTTTTCCCAATTTCAAGTGGAAAATTGAGGATAGCCTTGCTTCCTCTGAGCTTAAAAGCTGCTCTATCATAAGCCTTCGCAGCTTCTATAGCGGTGTCGAATGTTCCGAGCCAGACCCGAGACCCTTTCCGATTAGGGTCGCGAATCTCCGCCGCGAACTTCCCCCATGGCCGTTGTCTGACCCCCCTGTAGTGCTTTTTCTCGCCGGAATCTGGCACTTTCCTATCACCCACTTTGACTTGCTGATTAGTATTCTTATTCGCATTTATACACTCAAGTTTCTTCACTGTAGGTGGAATAGAAATGTTCAACGACGGCTTCCGATCACTGAAGCTCGATGTTTTTGGTGACTTTGAAATATTTATATTTGGCTTTGTCTCGAATTCAAAGTCATCAATTACATTTGAATTGAAGCTAAAGTGATCTGGGTGTTGCTCGTTGAAGTAGTCTGAAACTTCAAGCTCTGAACCTGTACTTTGGCAATTGAAAATTGCAGACCCAGAACTTGAACTCTGCGAAAAGTGATCGTCTGTTAAGTTGGAGACACAGTAGTTCTCCATAAACGCAAAATCATCAAGAAGGTGTTGANGAGAGAGAGAGAGAGAGAGAGAGAGAGAGTACTGCTGGTTGGGTTGGGATTCAAAGTTGGGGGGTTTGAGTGGAAAAGAGGGAGTGAAGTGGTTATAAAGGGGTCGAATTTTTGGGTTCCAAGCAAAGGTAGATGTCAGAGGAGGCTTCGGAAGAGGCTTCTAGGTTAGGGGGAAGAAGCATCGTGTGGTACCTTCCGGACGAAAGAAGATGCGTGCTTCTTTCGAAGACATCGTGATAATGTTTGATTTTAGGATAAAATATACTTTTAGTCCTTAAGTATGCATGCAGTATTTCTTTGGTCTCTAATATTTTAATTATGTGTATTTGATCCCTAAAGATTCCTAATTTATATCTACGTAGTTCAATTTCAATTTCAAATGTTTGTCAAACAATCGTTTAACTCCTCTAGTCACACANGCATGCAGTATTTCTTTGGTCTCTAATATTTTAATTATGTGTATTTGATCCCTAAAGATTCCTAATTTATATTTACGTAGTTCAATTTCAAATTCAAATGTTTGTCAAACAATCGTTTAACTCCTCTAGTCACACACCAATCACGTGTGACTAAATAGACACAAATTAATAACTTTAATGATCAAATAAACACAAAATTATAAGCACGTGATAGGCGGGTGATCAGAATCGTCACGATTTTTTGATGGACGTTTGAGATTAGACCACGTAGATACAAATTAAGAGCCTTAGGAACTAAATAGACACACTTAAAAGATTTATGATCAAATAGNTAAACACAAAATTATAAGCACGTGATAGGCGGGTGATCAGAATCGTCACGATTTTTTTATGGATGTTTGAGATTAGACCACGTAGATACAAATTAAGAGCCTTAGGAACTAAATAGACACAATTAAAAGATTTATGATCAAATAAACACTAGAAATATACTTTTGGGGCTAAAAATGTATTTTATCCACTTGATTTTATGTTTTTTTTTTCTTATTTTTATACTTGGACATTGGTCCCCATGGTGGTACATTACTTGATCCAAGTTGCCCACCAAAAAGAACCGGCTTCTTGGGTACTTCCATCCCCTACAGTTGCACCATCTAAATTCTCCTTTTAGTGAATAAACTTACCCATCGTTTTCGGATAAATAAGACTCCGGTACCTATTTTGGTAAAGTATTTCAATGCATTTTAGTTGTTGATTTTAAATTAAATCATTTGAATTATTGATTAAAAAAAAATACAAATTTTATACGTGAAATGTTTTTATTAAATAAAAATTAGAGTTATGGTACTAAAAAATCAAATTTAGACACCTTAATCGTACTCACGATTGTTATTCATGCAAATTCCCCAAGTAAATAAGCAATACTCTTCTATAGTTAAGTTCAAGGACCACGAAACCTTACTCCACCCAATTCAGCCAAATCAAGCCTATTGTTATATCAATAGACATTAAGGGAGTAAAAAAAAACCAATGATTGCTGTGAAGTTCCTTTCTTCATTTGAGGAAAGGAAAGAAGAGGGAGGGCTGGTTCTTTAGTTGTGCGCCAAATCTACAACAATTAAGAAATGAAGTGAACAAATTTTGACAATTTCATAAAATTACGGTATGAAAAATTTATCGCTCATAAATATTTTAATCTCGGTATAGATAACTTGTTTTTAAATAGAATAAGGAGAGAATTAATCGAGATACTTGTAACTTAAAAAAAAACAAAAGAAAACAAATCTATGCCGACATGCATAAACTCATGCAAAATCTATGTTCACATACAATGTTCTTATCTTGCACTCCGAGAGATTTAAATTTTTTTATTTTGCCCTTTTAAATATGAAATTTTTTATATTATACCATAATTATATTAAAAAAATTATAATGTGACACTTTCTTTACATTCCGTTACTTATTTCGTCAATATTCACCTCATTAAAATTGACGAAATGAATAACAAATATTAACGAAATGATCACGTTGTAATAAAAAATTGATAGTAGCACGTGCGGTGACCGTGAGACTTCTTTGGCTTGCTTGACTTTGGCATTTCTGTCAATAAGAGCATACTTTTCAATGATTTAATACTATCCTAATCCTAATAATACCTGCAAACAACTTGCCTTCCACGCAACTATCTCTGCCTCTGTCCCACTTGGATTGGAATACCTGCCTGCCGCTTGTTTCACCTTGATATTTCTGCGTCCGGCTAGCAGTATATGCAATAAGCCACTTTTTGTCCGGAATGATTTGCTTTTAATTAAATAATTCACACTAATACTCTCGACTTTATCTGATATCAAATTCATATCGTGTATAAATCATAGTTAATATATTTATATTATATTTTATTGAAGTTATACAAATTATTGACTTATTTATTGAATGGATTTCACGAATTTATCATCCCAACCCACAAAGTTTGGATTTAAGCATTCTAATTCTATATTGATTTTATGTCTAATGATTGTATTTAGAGTTGGCAGGGATCTTCAGCTTCAAATGATATTTGCTTTATTAGATGTATAGCTAAGCCTTCTCTCCCCAAGGCTCTTAAGAGACCGACCCTCTAACCTTTGCATTTAGAGTCAAGAAGTAGATTGGTTGATCCAAGAGTTAAGACCTTTCAAGCTTAGGGATCAAGATTAGCAAAGTGACGTGATACTTTTTAGGGTTTAAAGTTTAATACTAAAATAAACAATACGATATAACAATGAGTGCGTGGCGTGGACGTGTGACTTTGAGAGGAATTATGCCCAAAGTCACGATTTCCCATAATTAATAAGGTGAAATAAATATACCAAGTTTATATAAAGCATTTAAAAATCCAATAATTAAGCTTAATTTAAAGTCGATAATACAAATTAGTACTGCTCTCCTCTAATTTTACAACAATTAGAGAATTTTTTAATTCTCTTATCAATGATCAACGTCTATCAATTGAATTTATTGATATATACTTTTGTTTTTATGAAACCGGAGAAGAGCCAAACCCGTATTATATCACAAGAATCCAAATTTTAAATGTTTTAGTTAATAATAAACAATTCCAGTCAAAATAATCATACTTTTCCTCAAATAATGTTTTGAATAGCTAGGGCCCAATTTGGTTGTCACTTAGCAGCTGACTCAAACTTTGCGCTGGATGCACGAATAAATATTTATTGTAACGGTTATTGACTATCCTCATTCATCACATCAAAATAAAAAAAATTACTATAATATCAACGCTTTAAAATTGAACTTTTTTGTTTGACTAACTGTTGACCATTAAATTAAAAGAACGTGACTTGTCTCTTTTTTATCTCAAGTGAGATTTTGTTTTGAGGCGGAAAATCATTTATGTTTTTTTTTATATGTTTTTTATACCATTTGTTATAAAGAATATTTTAGGTACTTTGACAGTTTTTTTTTGAAGGAAAACAATGAAAACAAAGCACACAATATGTTTTAGACGTATGAAACATACTTTGCGTCAACTTGGATGATAAAAATAATCATTTCATTTTAGTACATAACTATAAGAGGATAATGTATATAATTTTAAACGTCAAGTAGATAAAGTGTTTTTAGTCGAAACTACAGGGAGAGGGAGGTAAAAAATAATTAACCTTTTATTTAAAGGTGGATGTTATAACTTTGAAGAATTTAAAAAACAAAGGGAAGATAGAATTGGGAAAAGGAAAACCCACTTTGAAGTGGTGAAAATCCTCCGGTGGTTCAATTTGAAGTGAACTTGACTCCCCAACCTTCCTAAGAAAGTTCAATACGAAATTTGACATATCTATTTTATTGATAAAAATACCTTTAAATACAAGATAATAAAAATTATTTCAAAAACTAACCTAACCCATGATTCCGTTATTTTAATAATCACCTAAAAAATTATTCACAAAATACTCTCTATCACTAACTCATTCACTAATAAATTTTTAATATTCAACTCTTAGACTACATAAAAATATATGCACATAATAGTGTGACATTTACTTTATTTATTTATTGACTTATTATTTATCAATAATACTAAATAATAATATTGATATGACGTAACTGCTATAATAGTATTTTGTCGTGATAAACGAGGGAGAATTTATATGTGTAGACCGCACGAGATGTATTCTAGTTGACCATTAATTGCCATGCGGAGATTGTAGTCAAACTCACGACCATATGGATCAACGTTCATTTTCAAAGGTTTGAATGTTGAAAACCCTCTACGGCTGTTGGATCCAATTTTATTTATTTTTTTATATTCCAAACATAGAAAACTCAGTAATTTCGATGAAAAAAATGAGAATTAACCTACCCAATATGTTGAAATCATAAGTTCGAATCTCGTGAGACACATTCTAGTTGTACACATTACATATACGCAACTTTAGAACGAGTCCAAGAAATATAGCTGCTAACGATTATCTATTACAAAAAAAAGTGTTCGGTTACGATATTTAGATATATTTTTTTGGCATTGTACGTACCTTCACTTTTAATTTATATCTATACTACTTTAGAATGTCATTATACTTAAAAAATATTTTTTTCTGATTGTACTCTCTAACGATGAAAGTATTACATTCTTATCTTTTATTGATGTTTAATTTTTTTTAATAATAATCAAGAATTAAGTTTAGTCATTCAAATTGTTAAACCTTACAAATTCTGCAGTAAGTATTCAAAAGATTGAATAATAATAAATACATCTATTATTAGATTAATTACCCTACTTAATTACCAACAATATAATTAGGTTATTTTAATCCTTCCACAATAATAATGCAACATCCTTTCATCTCTCTCAATGTAAATTTAATAGGGTTTTATTCTTTACTTCTTTTCCAAAATTTTCTCTTTCTTTTATCTATATATTAGAAATCTAACTTTATTTTTGATATCTATTTGGAGTACATAGCCGATTTACTTTTTAATTCTATGTTGTGAATTAATTTCAGTTGATTTTTCAGATAAAGATCATTTGATTTGTCCATTGAAGTTTTATTCAAACAGAATGAAAAGAAGTTTCAAGAACTAGATGGTCTTAGATTCAGCTATGGACGAATCTTTGATGGAGAGAGGACCTAAGTATTTCAGGTAGCTATCTTATCATAACTATGTAGTTTGATTATGAACAATTCTTTTTTCTTATTCTTGTGTGTATTAATTTTCAAATTCAAGTTTTTTATAATTGGGTTTTTCATTACAAAATGAGATGCAAGATCAGATCACCTTATTGTGATGAGATATACCCATGCAGACATTGACATAATGAATCTAAGGTTAACTTCTTCCTCTTTTTTTTTTTTGTTGTGTTTTGCAGTTTCCGATTCGTAAAAAATAAAATTTAATTAGCTAGAATCAAATTTTTGTAGAAAAATAAATTTTAATCTGCTTAAATTTTAATAAGTAAAAAAATATATTTTAATCGAATCAAATTTTATGTAAAAAGATTATTTAGATTTTATGTAGGAGCAATTTTGGTATTTTAGAATAATTTTTTTTTGTTAAAAACGGTAGTTTAATCACAAATGATGTCAGTGATGTTTAAATATAAACTAAAAGAGTGTCAGTGATGTTTTGAATAATAGAAGGGTATTTATTAAAAATATACCTAGCTAGAGGGGGGTTTGAATGATAATTATCCTTTATTTTATTACTTTTTATTATTATGTTATTTTTCAATGAAATGATTTTATCCTAAAAAAGGACAGTCGATTTTCAAATGATGAGAAAGTTAGAGCACGTTGGTTTTAGTAGATGCATGGTACTCTTGCAAGAGTAGTCTCCCAAGTTAGAGCACGTTGGTTTTGGTAGATTCCCAAGTTCAAAAATGTTGTGCAATTAATTGTCAATTCCTTTGGAAATGTGAGGGATATCATACATCATGCACATAATAGTTGTGGATCTTTCTTTTTGTTATGGGTGTTATGGATCATGTTAGTATTATTGGTACCAATTGGTAATAAGAGTAAAAGGATTAATAAGGGATTCAAGCTGAGATGAGTCATTTGCTTGTGCTTGCTAAGTTTAAGTTCAAGGTTAATCTTAATATTGTTGTTTTTGCAAATGTTGGGCTTCTTGCACATGCTCTTCTAATTCCTTTGTCATCTCATCCAAAAATATTTAGATTGATACACCACATCAAATCCTTACTCTCTATCATAGTCTCACAAGTACAACATATATGATTTATGATATAAAAAAAAAAAAATTACACCCAAATTCTCTTAAATTTGTCACTTAATTACTTAAAATCTTTGATATTTAAAATATTACACACAGATCCTCTAAAGTTTGTACGCATGTAACATTTAGATCTCTACCGTCAATGTCCATTAGTATGATCATTAATAAATTATATTTTGATCCCTTGAAGTTTATAGGCATGTAACACTTAAACTCCTCAAGTTTAAAATATTATACTTAGATAAAAAATATTTCAATTAAAAATAGAATATCAAATATTTTAAATTTTATAACAAAAATTAATGCTCTATTATGTCATTTATTGAATAAAATCGAAAATCAAAATTTAATTTTTCTCAAAAAAAATTATAATTAGTACTGTTGATGCTAAAATTTGGACAACTTTCAATTTAGTTTGCTGGGCTTTGATCACTTGAAAAAGAAGTTTAAGACAGGAGGAGAGCTCCAAAGATCGACTCTCTGATGTCTAAATCAGTAAGTGATTCAAAGATATGAAATACATATAGTAATCAGTATAAATATATCAAAGAATACTATTAAACACTCATTTGTATATAATTTTACTATCTATTGAAATAAAACTAAAAAACTAAAAGGATCAAACTGTAATAGATTAGTTCCATAACTAATTAGGAGTCTGAATATAATATTTTAAATTTAAAAGATCTAAATGTTACACTTTTTAAATTTCAAGGAATATAGGTATAATTTACTAATAGACATTGAAATCAAGAGCCTAAGTGTTACACGTGTATAAATTTTAAGGAATTTTTGTGTTATATTATAAATATCAAGAGATCTAAGTAACTAAATAACAAATTTTAAGAGATTTAAATATAATTTTTCCTATAAAAAAATTGTCATATTAGCCTTTTGATCACTTGCAAGGTTTGGTGCCCAAAATCAGGTCAGTTTTGCTAAATGGCCCCGTCTTTTAAAGCCCAACGCATGTGAAAAAGAGAAAGAGCATTACCAAAAGGTCCAAAACATATCATCTCTAATGCTACGTTTGATAGGAAGAATGACAAGTATGAAGAATAGAAAGTAAAAGAGATATATTTTCTATCATTTAAGGATGAAAAGTAGAAATAATACACTTTCTTTTTTTTGTGTTTTGTTGGATGGATGAAAAATAAAATTATGAGTCTTTTATATTTCTTGTTTGCGTGTTAGGTCATTTTCAAGTTCATGTCGTAAAATTCGTGTTGAATTCGAGTCGTGTCATTATGTTGAGTCAAAAATTTTCACCCCTAAGTAAGATGAAAAAAAATATTTTTTTTAATTTAAAATTTAAAATTTAAAATTTATTATTATATATATATATACATACATATCTTATCATTATATTTTTATATGAAATTAACGTATACATAATATATAAACAAATAAAATACATCTCAATACAAATAATTAACTTTTCATTTATTTTTCTTCCAATTTTAGAGGGATTAATTTTGATGAGTTGGAAATAAAGTTAATCCATCCACTTTTCCATCATTCCTATTTTCTTTATTTACTAAACATGATATTTTATTTATGTCTCAAATTTTTTATCCTTTCATTTTTTAATCGTACCAAACGGAGCATAAATGCTAGCTCATGTGAGTAAAGAGGAATGACTTAATGGTTAGTGTCTTTTTCATCTTATCTCTTTGATGCAAGTTTCGAATCTCATCAAGTCCCCCTCTCTTGTATGAATAGTGACAAAAAAAAAAAAGCTAACTCAATTATTAAAATTTAATTTGAAGATATAATTTTAAATTTTAATATATTGTGACTAGTAAATTGATAATAAACTTCATTCTTTATTAGAACCCACATATAACTGATTGATTATAATCATTGGTTCCTAAATTATATCTCAATATCATTGATCAAACAAGAAAAAAGAAACCCATGGAAGGCAAGAGGAAGATACGACTATTTTGTGTTTGATGCCCTTTCCACAATCCCAACACAAAGACCAATGACATGAGTGATATTGTGAGTATTTGGTGATGATCATACAAGCATGAGGAAAGAAAGTGTAGCTTATAATTCGTATGGATAATTCAGTTGTGTAGAGTTATTATCAGAATGAAATTTTTGTGGTTAATTGTAATCTTATGTCCTAAAATAATTTTTTAGTAGGACCCATCAAGATCTTCGACGATATTTAAGATGTGAAAAGATGTATGTTAATTATTATTCTTTGAGTAATATTATTTGAATTTAAAATATTAATTTGATTAATCACTATTATTAATTTAATTATGGAACCCATGACCTATTTAATTGTTTCCATGGGAAAGGCCATGCACGCAGCTGCAGTAGATCATTTGACACCAAGTCCTCGCAAACGTCGTTTTGTCTATCCTCAACCACTCCGAATCCGACAAAAATAAACAACGTGGCTTGAAACAAAGCCNTTATTTTTTTATTAAATATAAATTAAAATTAAGGAAAAAAAATAAGTACAAGAGTAAATCACAACTTTGTCTATATAGCATATCGGTCAAAAAGAAGTACAAAAATTATGACCCGTTTCAGATATGTTTGAATATATTTCGGACATACTTTTTTCTTGCCGCCAGATTCTGGCAATATGTGCTGTGGCTAAATGAACTTTTTTCTTGCCACCAAATTGTGGCAATATGTGCTATCTGCGACTAGCTCAACACATTTACTGGCAACTTACTACTTCAACTTAAAGTTTCGACTTTGGAATGATAATTGAATAGAGAGAGAGAGAGAGAGAGAGAGAAGTTCATATTTAATACTCATCCTCAACACATTTCTTCAAAATCAATTCGCTTTAAGTACAATATTCATAGTTAAATTATACAACACATCATCATAAAAAGCATAAAATGGAAATAAAAATTAGGTCAAGATCTTGGGCTTCTGGGGAGTTCTGCATCACTCGTAGTCGGCCTGCAAAGAAAACAAATAAAAAAAATTAGATTACTTTAACAAGGTTGAATCGAGAACATTTTAACACCAGAAACCGTCATTGGACAAAAACAAAAAACCATGAAATCTTTCGTATGGAAGAGGCATTATTTGTTACTGATCAACACAAACAATCAACAAAATTTCTTGTTCTGACAAGATTCATACCAATGTATACTCAGGGCCAAATAGCATAAGCTACCAAAAACTCTTCTTGTCAAACAAGCTTCTTTGCCCTCTGGCATCAACTCTGCAAGCCCAAAATCAGATATCTGTGGATAAATTAAGTTGTGTGTTATGAATAGGTGTCTCATTAAAGAAATTCCAAGCTATTAGTTTTACACTAATCGTGTTTAAAATTACCAACTCTTATCTCATCCTCACCAGATGAGCCTGATTGCTTTGCCCTATGGCATAAAGTAGCACAACCCTTGAAAAAAACACATAAATAGTCTTTATAAAANAGATCAATGGTTGCAATGCCAAGTTTGTTAGTGGGATTTCTATGAATGTTTTTGTTTCTGTTTTGTTGTGTGTTTGCTTTTACACTTTGCTGTGTTTGGGGGGTTTGTTCAGTCTATTTGAGTCCCGTCAATTGAATTGTAATGTTTAATGCATCTTTTGTTTTTTTTCCCAATTAACGGTATAGTTCGTATAAATTTAATTTTTTTTCAACAGCGAGAGTTAATTTATACGCATCTTAATTAATTCTTTTATCTGATTAAACGTAAATCTATTCACTTCGGGATTAAAATATTTTTTTGGAATAAATTCTTCATAACTTAGACCACAATAGGTTGCCACAAGACTTCTCTAGAGGTTCTGGGTGTATTTTTTATTTTTATTTTTGTTTGAACTGGGTTCTAGGTATAATTAAAGGGCAGAAAAGAGGAGAAGCATTCTCTCTTGGTTTAGATTTGGTCACCAATGGAAGGGCGATGTCGCAATCCAGAGAGGGTTTAGGTGTCTATATCAAATAAAATGAAAAAAAGTAATGTTAATTGGATTGACAATGAATCTTAATATTTGTTGGAATTTAATATCAATTTAATGGTTGTGATAGATTAAATTATGTTAATAAATTATTATATTTTTTTATTAAATATAAATTAAAATTAAGGAAAAAAAATAAGTACAAGAGTAAATCACAACTTTGTCTATATAGCATATCGGTCAAAAAGAAGTACAAAAATTATGACCCGTTTCAGATATGTTTGAATATATTTCGGACATACTTTTTTCTTGCCGCCAGATTCTGGCAATATGTGCTGTGGCTAAATGAACTTTTTTCTTGCCACCAAATTGTGGCAATATGTGCTATCTGCGACTAGCTCAACACATTTACTGGCAACTTACTACTTCAACTTAAAGTTTCGACTTTGGAATGATAATTGAATAGAGAGAGAGAGAGAGAGAGAGAGAAGTTCATATTTAATACTCATCCTCAACACATTTCTTCAAAATCAATTCGCTTTAAGTACAATATTCATAGTTAAATTATACAACACATCATCATAAAAAGCATAAAATGGAAATAAAAATTAGGTCAAGATCTTGGGCTTCTGGGGAGTTCTGCATCACTCGTAGTCGGCCTGCAAAGAAAACAAATAAAAAAAATTAGATTACTTTAACAAGGTTGAATCGAGAACATTTTAACACCAGAAACCGTCATTGGACAAAAACAAAAAACCATGAAATCTTTCGTATGGAAGAGGCATTATTTGTTACTGATCAACACAAACAATCAACAAAATTTCTTGTTCTGACAAGATTCATACCAATGTATACTCAGGGCCAAATAGCATAAGCTACCAAAAACTCTTCTTGTCAAACAAGCTTCTTTGCCCTCTGGCATCAACTCTGCAAGCCCAAAATCAGATATCTGTGGATAAATTAAGTTGTGTGTTATGAATAGGTGTCTCATTAAAGAAATTCCAAGCTATTAGTTTTACACTAATCGTGTTTAAAATTACCAACTCTTATCTCATCCTCACCAGATGAGCCTGATTGCTTTGCCCTATGGCATAAAGTAGCACAACCCTTGAAAAAAACACATAAATAGTCTTTATAAAAATGAAACAATTTTTTTCTTTGTGTGTATATATTAAAGCTACCATAAAATTATCATAATCTAAGTCAGTTACAAACACTTACAATCAATAAATTTTTTTTTTAAAAAAACAGAATCATATTCATACCATATTTACTACTCCATGTCTTCACATAATCACCATTCACATTTCTCTCACCAGGTCCAAGACCCATCTCAGATAAGGTTCATCAGAACTCCCTTTCTGACCCTACACAGTTCTTGGCATTTCATACTGTCCATCCCTAATGTTCAGCATCTCCAAGTTGCACATGATATGCAGCCAACCAATTCATTCCCAAAATCAAATCAAAATCTTGGAATTTCAAACGTAACAGATTTGCAGGTAATTCTCTATTACTCACCTGAACTAGGCACCCCGTTATATACTATTCTAGCCATCACACAATCACCTGTGGGAGTAGCTATAGTCACTCCACAGTCTAACATGGTAGGTGGTCTATCAACATGCACGGAGAATGACAGTGATATAAATGAACATGTGGTACCTGAATCTATAAGTACTCGTGTCTGTTGACCAAAAATAGCTATCATACCTACAACCACATCCAGGGTCACCTGAGCATCCCGTTGGGTAAGTACAAAGACAAGACCTCCAGCCTCAGGTTCACTCGGTCTACTGCCACCAGTGCCACCTCTAGTACTGTTTACTTGTCCTCGACCTCTGCCACTTGTTGCTCCTCAGGACACCGTAGATGCACTGCTTATCGATGAACTCTAGGTAGAATACTGCGGACAATCCTTCTGCATATGTCCCTCTTGACCACATAAAAAGCAACGACGTGATACAATAGGTCATGGTCCTCCCATAGGACAGTTTCCGTATAATGTGTCCAATCTGCTTGCAACTATAACAAGTAACTGCACTCCCATGAGACTATCCCATCTGTCACTAGTGCAAATGAAGATAATCTACTCACTCCCTGTTTTCGACTCTGGAATGGAGCTCCTGGTCTCTTCTTATTTATACCATTCAGAAATATTCTTCTCGAGGCTCTGCTAAAAGAACTTCCTTTGGAACCCTGTCCACTTGACTCATATCTTCCTTTTTTTGCCTACTCACTTGTACTTTACATCTCTTTTAAATCAGCTTCCACAATCAAGACTTTGTTATATAATTATGAAAATGTTGTTAAATCCAACATCAAAACACAGGATCGAATATTGTAGTGTAGCCTCATTTGGAATCTCCTGCATCTTCCCCCCTCATCTGCTACAACACAAGGCATAAATCTGGATAAAATACTAAATTTACCCTCGTACTCTAGCATTGACTGATTCCCCTACTGTATATGTAAATCAAAAGGGAGAGAAAGCAAGAAGAGGGTGAAGGTAAGAGTGTGTGTATGTGTGATTGAAATTTAAGCATGTGTGCGTGTGTTATGTGTAGACTGTTTTTATTTAATTTCATGGGTTGTTTTAGTTTAATTTCAAAATAGATTTTGTGAGGGTTTATTTAAGTGTGTTAAGCATAATTAAAGGTTGTTAAGAAAAGATTTAAGTGAGTGTTCAACCGGGTATGAAAAAAAATGTGAAAATGAACATTAAGATGCTTGAGATGTTTTAGGTAGGCTAGGCTGAGACTGAAATTTTTTGGGTGTGAAATTGAGAGTTTAAGGGTGCAATTAGGGGGCTATTTTTCATGATTTAGTGAATGTGTGAGTTTAGATATGATTATTTTAAAAAAAACGTACGATAGAAATTGAAAATGGATACCGGTAATGCCGAAACTCTGATTTATAAATATTATTATCACATGTGTGAATTTTAATTCAAATGATTCAAAATTTTGCATGCTGCATTTTTAAATGATGCTTGATGTGATAATATGAATTTCGAATGCAAATGAAACTAATATTCAATGCGAAATGAATGAAATGCTAGCAGTGCAGTTTTTAAAATTCGGAGTCAAAATGTGTGAAAAATGGGCTCCTGGTCAATGTGTTTGACCTACTGAATCTTAATTCTGATTAATGTGAGTGATTTTGGATATTTGGAGAGGAAATAAGATTCCTAACTCTAATGTGCAAATATGTGAATGGACAGTTCGGTAACCGGGTTATCGGGGCAATTTGGGTTAAATGATCTTGCATGCATTAGTGCATAATTAATTATTAACTGTGATATTAATATTATAATTGTAAATGTGTTAGGTGGAATGAGTGAGACAGTCAGTGTTGGAACAGATACGGTAACACACAACAGGATCTACCCATAGGATCGAAGGGCCGTAAATTTGTACATTGGAGGTGGGTGTATATCTTTATATATTTTAAAAATGCTATTATAAGAAAATAGTAAATAATAGAATTTAATAGCAATTCTCTAGGATAATGTGCTACGTGTTTATGTGATTGAATGATGTTTTGTATTGTGTATTGTGTATTATGGAATATGGTGCACTATTGGAGACAGGGATGTCAATGCCTGATCACTAAACGTGCAGTGGTGTGCTAGTACTGTAGTGTTCTCGGGAGGTTCGGGAGACACAGATCCATATGGGATCGATTACTCGATGAGGGATAATATGGAGGTGATGTGGCTGATGAATTCTTTGAAATTAGGTTGATGTTGTGTTTGATATGTATATTTACGTAGTATCTACCTACTTTAGTGTATTAATATCATTTTTATTTCATATACAACATGTATACTCACTGAGCGTGTGATTTAACTCACACCTCTATAGTTTCTCCTTTTCAGATACTATAGAGGAAGATGTAGACTAGTCCACTGTCCAGTCGATTGAGTCTTGTACAACATTAGTGTGATATCACTCAAGTTGAGATTCTGTATGACTAAATGTTGGATTGTGTATTATATTTGTGAGAGATTATTATGTCAAGTTAATAGTGTATAAGTGTAAACAGACTCAATAAGTATACTTTGAGATGTAAGATATGTGGGTGTGGAATTTTGTAAATGTATATAACCTAAAAATAAAAAAAAAATGGTATATGTGTTATATATGATACAAGTTATAAAATAAGTATTACCATCATGCCTAATGACTAAGGTGATGGGTGGTGTTATCGCACCTGTGAGATTATCAGTGTTTGATTAATTTAGATTATATATACGTAAAAAGGTGTGTCAAAAACCTAGTCGCGTCTCATCCTTGGAAGACCGAGATGGGGTGTGACAATTTAGTTGGTATCAGAGCTAAAGTTTATAGTTCAATAGTTGAGTCGAGTCTAGTGTGACAGTGGACTTAGGGATTGGTCTGTTTAGGTGGGGTGTTAGAGGATTGTGTGAGTGTGTGAAATATATATTGTATGCTATCATGACCCATATGAGATACTCACATTTGTTACAGTTATACATGGAGGGAGAAGGGTCCTCTGCTTGGGCTAGAGATAAGAGAAAAAGAACCCAAGTGGAGGAGGAACCAGGTGATCAGGGGGCTAGACAACTGTAGGAGGCAACAACTAAGTATTTTTTTAAAAGAATGATACAAGAACAACAAGAAGAGCAACAACAAGAAGAGAAATTGAGAATAGCAATGGATGAAGAAATGAAAGCAATTGAAAAGAATGATACATGGACACTAGTTAGTCTTCCCCAAGGTCAAAAAGCAATTGGTGTGAAGTGGGTGTATAAAACCAAAAAGGATGCAAATGGTGAAGTCCAAAGATATAAGGCAAGGTTAGTTGCTAAAGGCTACAAGCAAAGGGTCGGAATTGATTATGACGAGGTATTTGCTCCCGTTGCTCGTTTGGAAACAATTAGGTTGATGATTTCTTTGGCGGCACAAAACAAGTGGAAGATTTATCAACTTGATGTGAAATCGGCATTCTTGAATGGATTTCTTGAAGAGGAGATTTATGTTGAACAACCTTTGGGGTATGTGAAGAAGAGACATGAAGATAAAGTGTACAAGTTGAGAAAAGCTCTCTATGGATTAAAGCAAGCACCGCGCGCATGGAATGCTAGAATTGACAAATATTTACATGAGAATGTTTTTCAAAAGTGTCCTTATGAGCATGCATTATACATGAAGATGGATGGGAATGGAAGTGTGTTACTTGTTTGTCTTTATGTTGATGACTTGATCTTCACTGGCAATGATCCAATGATGTTTGATGAATTCAAGAGAAGTATGATTAAGGAGTTTGAAATGACTGATATTGGCTTAATGTCTCATTTCCTTGGCATTGAGGTAAAGCAAAGAGAAGATGGAATTTTTATTTCTCAAAGTGGTTATGCAAAGGAAGTGCTCAAGAAGTTCAAGATGGATTCTTGCAACCCGGTGAACACGCCCGTTGAAGTTGGATTGGAATTGAGGAAGAGAATTAGTGGTGAAAATGTTGATCCAACTTACTTCAAAAGTTTAGTTGGAAGTCTTCGGTATCTTACTTGCACGAGGCCAGATATTCTTTATGGAGTTGGCTTAGTTAGTAGATACATGGAAACACCGGATCAAACTCATCTTAATGCAGCAAAGAGGATTCTACGTTATATTAGAGGTACACTCAATGATGGCTTATTTTATTCTTACACTAATGATTTTAGACTTGTTGGATATTCGGATAGTGATTGGGGACGAGATTTGGATGAAAGGAAAAGTACCTCGGGTTATTGTTTTTTTATGGGAGATACGGCTTTTACTTGGTCATCCAAGAAGCAAACAATTGTTACTTTGTCTACATGTGAAGCGGAGTATGTGGCTGCAAATTCAACAGTTTGTCATGCTATTTGGTTGAGGAACTTGTTGAATTATTTGGGATTTTCTCAAGAAATTCCCACAGAGATCCTTGTTGATAATAGATCGGCAATGGCGTTGGCAAAGAATCCGGTGTTTCATGAAAGGAGTAAACACATTGATACGCGCTACCATTTTATTAGAGAGCATGTGAAAAATGAAGAAGTGAACTTGGTACATTGCAAGACTCAAGATCAAGTTGCCGACATTTTTACAAAGCCATTGAAACATGATGTGTTTAAAAAATTGAAAATGATGCTAGGCATGAGAACTCAAGGAATTGAGTTTAAGGGGGGATGTTAGTTTTATAAACTCTATTTTTAAGGGGTTTTTTTTTTTGTATTTTTGGGTATTGAAAAGTCATGGTATTTGAAGTGATATATACCAGAAGTGTCCAGAATATTTTTGAGAAGTCTATTCATGTATTTGGGAGACTTATTCATGTATGGTTGC